CAAAAAATTTTTACAAATATTGTATTGTTCCCCAGTGTGAGAGCACTAGTGTGAAGTCGCCTAAGAAAATAATAATGTCCCCATAATTCGGTCGTGCGGATCAAAAATCAATACTCTATTAGTCCCTATTTGTTTGTTTTTTTTTAATATCTTTTATTTGGCATATTTTGAAAGCAACAAAACTACCTTGTGTAATTTAGGTATGTAATAAATACGTTTGTATCCTTTAGAAACACTATACACTTGTGTTTTCCTTTATTGATTTTTTTGCCAATGGGTACTAAGTATTTATATAAAAATACATAAAAAATATTATATCAACATATTTATAAGATAGATTTTATGTAATATGAATTTTGTATTTGATTAGGTAATTCTTTGAAACCCTTGACAGAAACGGTTCCGTCCAATTAAACGCAAAATCCTTATTCTTATTTGAGTAAATGTGTTATACAGTAAATGTATTTTCGGTGTCCCCAAAGAAAAATTAATCAATTTGATATAGTATTAATTATTTCACAAGTTGGCAATATTTATGTATCTGTAATGATAAGGACCAGAAGATATTTCTATTTTTTAAGATTTATAGGCACCAGGGGAAAATGTATGGTCAGGGGAGTGACACTATGCACAGAGCAGTGACAAATTGAGACAGGGAAGTGACAGTCTATTCATTCTTAGATATAAAAGGTAAAAAAATTGTGCTTTTCTTTTTCTTTTAATTCAGCATTCTTAACCGGATCATTTTTAATTCTTTGGTAGCGTAACCTCTCAGCTTGACGCTTTTTCCCAGTCTCTCTTCTCTCGTTTGTTTTTTCTTTGGCGTTCATCACGATATTTGGCTTATGTTTATCATAAGCGACTAAATAAAACATGTAAAATATTAATGTGTTAAAATATTAACTACCAAGTTACATATTTTGCCATTCCCCTGGATTACATGTGTTTCCCCTAGCGTACAAACTGCCAGAGGACTGACGACGCCAGAGAACTGACAAAATCGCACATATCCTCGAATTACAATTAAACATGGACTTGTTACTACAATTAAAAGTTATTCATGACTCCTGGTCACAATTAATATTGTTTTTAATCAACGCAAAGTTATGTAATGGTAAAATATAAAAATACATATATTCATACCAGTGGAAATACTTCAGCTACTGGCACAAGCAAGCTCTAAAACAGCGTATAGTCCGGTCAAATTAGTCATAAAATTAGTGGTCAAAAAACGAGAATTCCGACGGTGCTAAATGTTGGTGGAGACCTTGGGTACACCATTAGAAATAAAGTATCAAAAGTCCCCATCGATCCCATGTGTGTACTAAAAAAGATATTCGGGGTCAAATGTCAAAATTTGAGGTTTTTTGGATTTTTTTTTTGAAAACGGTAAGTTTTATCAAAAAAGTAGCCCTGACAAAACTTATAGATCTTAAAATTATCTACAAAAATGGTTCTTATACTTTTTTTTCTAAGAATCACCATTCCTGAGATATCGCGATTCTAAAAGTTAGAGTCACGTTCTACATATGCACATATATGCCACGTATATACATAGTCGGGCACTTAATACAAGTAAAAATGCCTATTTGTGTCTCTTATATGTATCAACTATACTATTCTGAGAATATACACTCAAAAGAAACTCGGTCCCTTAGTCAAAATGACGCAGATGTCCTTATAATTGAAACAGCAATAGAACAATTTAATGCAACAAATACAACTATTGTAGGTGAAGATGTTGACTTATTAATACTACTCACTGCAAGGACTCCAATTGATAAAATTATATACTGTTTAAAACCTGGAAAGGCTCAACAGCGAACAAAAATATATTCTTCAAAAAGTTTATCTGCTTATCCAAAATGCCAAAACCATATCTTATTTTTACATGCGATAACCGGCTGCGATACTACATCAGCAATGTTCAGAAGGGGTAAAACATCAATATTAAAATTATTTGAAAAAAAAAAAATTTGTTTGATTGCGCTAAAGTATTTACAGAAATTGATTATTCACCTCAAACAATAATCACAAAAGGAATTTGCTTTCACCTTGCTGTTTATGGAGCTCCGAACAAATATTGATTGTATAGATAAATACAGATATTTAACTTTTGCAAAAAGTACATGAAACAAGAAACGAGTACAACTATCTTGTCTTCCTCCAACATCGGCTTCTGCTAATCAACACTTGTATCGAGTATACTATCAAGTTCAGAGATGGCTAGGCAATCAACTGAACCCAGAAGACTGGGGTTGGAAATTAACCGATAATACTTTGGAACCGATTCATACTTTACTCCTACCTGCTCCGGAAAAACTCCTAAACATTATTTTTTGCAATTGCAAAAATGGTTATAGTGCTAAATGTGGCTGTAGAAGAGTAGGGTTACTGTGTTTTTCAGCGTGTACTAATTGCCAAAGCCAGTCTTGCTCAAATGTCCAATTGAATACAACAGACGAAGATTCATGTGATTTCGATGAAGAGACAGCTGATTTATCTTCATTTGAACAATTTATGAACATCCAGCAAGAAGAAGAGGAAGAAGGAGAAATCGAAGAAGACATGACTGCTGAAGTCGACTTTGAAGAGTATGAATCAGATTAAAATATCAAAAGAAATCAGAACTACAGTTAAAGTCAATAACCAATATCAATATCAATAATCATCATGCAGTTAAAAGAGTATTCTCCCTGAAAATTCGTTCAAAAACACGCGCCAAAGTACACTACCTCACAGGTGGTGTGGAAATGTGTGCATATCATGTAGATTGTGACTCCTTCAACTATTAGAATCGCGATATCTCAGGAATGGTGATTCTTAAAAAAAAGTATAAGGATCATTTTTGTAGATAATTTTAAGATCTATAATTTTTGTCCGGGCTACTTTTTCGATAAAACTTACCGTTTTCGAAAAAAATCCAAAAAACCTCAAATTTTGACATTTGATCCCGAATAACTTTTTTAGTACACATGGGATCGATGGGGACTTTTGAAACTTTATTTCTAATGGTGTACCCAAGGTCTCTACCAAAATTTAGCTCTGTCGGAATAGTAACAGCCACTGACGCGATTATAGTTTGAATAGGCTCAACGCAGTTAGCTTGTTGGTAAATTCACTATATTCAATACGTATCGCTTAAAGTCAAAGATCTGTGTTTGTAATTGTAGCCCGATATTTTGATCATGTAATTTCGCCAGGTGAGGGTGACATTTTTTTCTGGTGGCGTCAAAATGTATCATTATTATTATGTTCATAATTATTTTTACAACTTAATTTGCGAAAACGTGTTTTGACGTTTATTAGTTACATGATTATAATTGAAATAATATTGTAGCAGTCAAATAAAAAAAAATATGTTTCAAATTCTAGTAAACGTTGGTAATGGGACAAGCCAGGGGAGTATACATTTTTCACTATTTTATCATATAAATGCCTAAAGTGAAATAGTTATCGTAATTTGAATATGTGGCCTAAATAAAAGATAATATTATTTATCACTTCATTGATACAGACAATAAATTAAATAATTGTTGTGTAAGATTTATTAATACTACTAAATACTGTAGATTCACCCATTTACTATTCTTATTGTACGAAAACATCAAAACTTTCGATACAAGCGTACTTTAAAGAAACTTTACACGTTATTGAAACATAACCTTTGCATTTTCACTCCTCTCATCTAAGCACTGATAAAGTCGTGTTTTTTACTAAAAAAATCCATAACCGTTAACAAACCTATTTCTGGCAAATTAGAAGAATCTGCTTTTACGAAATTTGCTTCTATTTTCTAAATTTAATGCACAAACGTTAAAACATTATGTAGATGTTGAAATTCATCTAGATGTAGCGCGCGGCGGCTGACCGTCCCATGCGGTGACGTCATAGCATTGCTGAGACAAATATTCGCATTTTAAAAATCATATAGTTTGAAAACCGCTCAACGGATTGAGTTGAATTTTTCAGGATCGCCTAATCATGAGTAATACTTTGTGTATAATAATAAAAGAACGTTTTTGGAAATTTACTGGATGACCCCATTCCTTGAACTTGTTTAAGGACAACTAAATATAAAATGTTTTGGCTTTATTGTCAGAAACTTTTCTCTTATACGTGCTAAGTTAGAATACGAATGTTTGATTTGGTAACCCTTATATATTTCTCATGTTTACGCAGTAGAATTAGTTCAAAGGTGATTTTTAAAATATTTGACTCCAAAAGTTGACGGTCAATATCCTGTAAGAAGAATAGATTATAACTATTTCACAAATAGGTTTAATGTTGATTCTATAGAGTCAAGAAGACAACGTATTTCTTTAAAGTTGTATAGACTGCCGCATAATGAGATCGATTGTCCTGAACTTTTAGGGCAAATTGCTTTTAATATGCCTAGGTATCATTCTAGGCAAAGTATTAGTTTCCATATGTTTAGAGCGAGAATCCGTAAATCCGTAATGAGTAAAAATTTGAATAGCATTTCGCACTTATGTGATATTAACAACTCTTCGATGAATGAAATTATTAAATTAATTCGTTACTATGTTTAGATAAATGGTAATGTAAGTATTATCTATCTATTCAACGTTTTTTTTTTTGTTTATATGAACATATAGAAATTGTGAATCGTGTTTGCACAATAATTAAGTTTTACTCTATGAATGATTAACGTTTGCGCCAACCAACCACTTCATTAAAACTATTTGCCATAGACAAATTAGAACATTCGTAATAAAACAAAACAGGGCATCCTTACGTTGATAATCGCAAATTTCATTTTAGAGAGCCATGGGAGTCTGCTCTATGAGAGCTTTTGTGCTCGGATAGTTCTATCGGGTTTTGAAAAACGTATCTATACATAGAAGAAAACCCTCCAATTGAATTATGTTGTTGAAATAGTAAAAAGCAGTTAAAATACAGATGTTCTCCTTGGTAGAAGAAATAATACAAATAGCAGATTAAAAAAATATTCTAAAATCAAGCATACTATAACTCACCATTGAACCGACGATATATACAACGTTCAACATCACTTTCTTCTGCATCGCATGCTCCTTACCAAACCACTCAAGATTTCTGCTAATGCCCATCGCAAGGCCTTCGAGGATATTAACAACGCCGTTGAAGAGAATCAGCAACAAAGGCCAGCCGAATAGTTTGTTGAAGTCATCCACAGTGTTGCCCAACGTTATAAGGGATCTTTTAATCTCTCTCAAAGTCTTTACCGACGACATTTCGCCAAATCTCAGACATTTCACCATATCGTTCAGTCGTTGGTATTCAAATCTTAACGACTGCGTTCCATCTATAATTACAATTACTGTTAATAACTGATTGTAGAGTAACAAGTAAACACAAGAGAAGTAAAGGAAGAACGCTGATTTGTTGTCGAATACTAGCAGTTGACCGAAGTATAAGCCAAAGAGAAATAAATTCCCTAGAACGAATATAATATTTCCATTTCTGGTAGGGTAAGGTTTGGAGAAGTTGCCAAAGTTCTGAATATGAATAATTTGGTCCAAAAAGTTCTCCCACGTGCCCATATTCCAAAATGCAGATCCCAGAACTATTATGGCGAAGGAAACCATCACAATTAGTTGCATTGTCACGCACAATATTTGCTCGATTACGTCTTCTTTGGGTGTCAGGATCAACCGCACATAAAGCACCACTAAAGAGAAGAATTCCAAGGAAATCGTCAGTAATATCGCATAGTATTTGTATAGTTTTACATGCACTATCCTTTGTTCTTGTAAATTGTACCACGGCACTATACCGAAGAACGAAAAGTACGTTGATAATTTTTGTATGGAAAATCTTCGGTTTTGCTTAGCTTGTTCGTACATTTCAAGGTGTCTAGCACAGGACGGTTAGTCTATATATAAATTAATAAATACGTAGGTACACTTGTATATAGGGTGGTCCGAATTTTATGCAGGAAACTTCGAGGGTAGATAGATCTCTTTAAAATAATATGTGTTTGCCTTATAAACATAGGTCTGGAAGAGCCCCGTTTTAGAGATACAGGGTTTGAAGTTGTTAAAAAAAATTGATTTTTTGTTTATATCTCTGGAATCTATTAACCGATCTAAATAAAATTTGGTACAGATAATATATGATAGTAGCCCTTACATTCCCTAAAATATGAGCTTTAAAGGTTCAACCAGTGGTGTACAACTAGACAGGGGTCACCCCCTTTTTTACAAAAAAACCAACGCCACTGCATTTTTTGCAAGTTATTGTAACGTATGTATATTCTAATGCACAAAATACGTAAAAAAGGTAACTTTAATTTTTTCCCTAAGATTCGCCGTTCTCAAGTTATTCAAACCAATACTTGCCTTGTGGCTGACACTTCTAACCATAATATTACAAGAATATTTATGCTTATGCTTAAAAGTAAGTGCAATTTGTAAGCACATCAACAAAATTATTTACACCACCTGTGAGGTAGTGTTCCTGGCGTGTTTTAGTTTTCCCTGGAGGCCTAATACTCTACAAATAAGAACAATTTAAATCAAAATAATAATAAAAATATATTTACCAAGCAGCAGCAACTAAACAAGAAACAAAATTAACGTTACGTATTTACAACAATTGTATTACACTCGTCTTCTATTCGTTGCAGTAGTTGTGGTCTTGTATCTGTTGGAGTAGAATAAACTTTACTTTTCAGATAACCCCAAACATAGAAGTCCAGGGGGTTTAGATATGTCAATCTGGCTGGCCAAGACACTGAACCCTCTGCATAATTATGGTTGACATTGGCATTTAGTCTTCTACCTATCCATCGACCCAAATAATTTTAATTAAGCCATTCTTATATTATTCTCCCAGAATGCGCAGGAGCACCATCCATTGTATCCAGCTTTAATGGAACATCCTCTAATAATTCAAATAGATGGTTTTCTAGAAAGTTTAGAAATGACTGGGAATTTAGACGGGTTTAGAAAGGTCCACAAACTTTATTGCGAATTATTCCGAGCCACACGTTCACAGAAAATTCGTGTTGAAAAGATCTTGTACGAATTTCATGAGGATTTTCTTGTGACCAAATATGCAGGTTGTGAAAATTCACTACCCTTCGCCTTTGGTAAATGTACATTTATTATTATTTTGATTTAAGTTGTCCTTATTTGTAAAGATAGTGGGTTAGGCTTCCAGGGGAAATTAAAATGCGTAAGGAACTAAGGTGGTGTGGAAACAAGTGTAAAGAATTTTGTTGATGTGCTTACAAATTGCACTTACTTTATACCATAAACATAAATATTCTTGTAATATTATGGGTAGAAATGTCTGCACAAGGGGATTGTATTGGTATGAATAACTTGAAAACGGCGAATCTTAGGGGAAAAATCAAGTTACCTTTTTACGTATTTTGTGCATTAGAATATAAATCCGTTATAATAACTTGTAGAAAATGCAGTGGCGTAGTTTTTTTTTGTAAAAAAAAGATGACCCCTGTCCAGTTGTACACCACTGGTTAAATCTTTAAAGCTCATATTTTTGGGAATGTAAGGCCTACTATCATACATTATCTGTACCAAATTTTATTTAGATCCGTTAATAGATTCCGGAGATATAAACAATAAAAATCAATTTTTTTAACAACTTCAACACCCTGTATCTCTGAAACGGGGTTGTTCCAGACCAATGTTTATAAGGCAAACACATATTATTTTAAAGAGATCTATCTGCCCTAGAAGTTTCCTGCATAAAATTCGGACCACCCTGTATATTCAATTTAGTAAATGTATTGGATGGTTTCCATTTGTAGTTGATGTTTAGGTATTATTATAACAAAACGAATGGATATAATAAATTGGAGTTAAGAAATACATTATTATGTTCCCAGCGCGGTAAATGTCAACAAATTTGATAAAACACACATTACCAAATGGAAATGGAAGACGAAACAATACAGGTTTTTTCACGTAACACACCCCCCCCCCCTAAAAAAAATAGGTCCATAAATCCTCCTTCGATTGAGAGCACACCAAACTCCAATTTTTTGAGCGTGTAGAGGGCCCTCGACAAAAAAGTTATCTGGTTTTTCAGAAGACCACATTCTCATATTCTGTGAGTTTACGTAACCACTTAAATGAAACCAGGCTTCATCAGAAAAAAACGTGATATTATGAAGTTCACCGTAGTTGTTTAAAAACCATTCGCAAAATACAGCCCGTCGCGGAAAATCAACTTCATGAAGTTCTTGCTGACAAGTTAAACGATAGGAGAACAAACGCAAATCTTTTTTAACACTGTGTGGCAGGTACCGACTGATACTCCCACCATTTGTGATAAAACACGTACAGAAGTTCTTGGCGCATTTTCCATTATTTGTTGGACATTTTCTTTTAATTCTTCAGTCCGCTTTTTAGGTCGGCCGCTTCCTTCTTTTCTTGTTACACTGCCCGTTTCACGAAAAACATTAACACAACGCTGAACTGCACTTTGAAAAATTTTGTACTCAACAACGCCGGGAAATTGATTTTGAAATTCTATGAAACATTCCTCAATAGAATACTTCCATATTCCATCAATCTTGCGTCCATTTCTAAAGTAGGACTCTATGATAAACACTTTTTGTTCTTGAGAAAACACCATTTTAAACGCTTTTTAAAACGAAAATATTCAAATTGATAGCGGCGATATAGCGCTTTGACAGATGACGTTTAAGTTCATTTGCTATACGCTACGCCCTACGTCCAATTTTTCTGAACCAACTTGACCACGTTTTTATTTGAACGCTCGTTATCATTTATCGGTTCTAGGAGTTATTTTGAGTAACTTCTGTCACCACCTCTATGCCTTGAAAATTGGTGGCTTTCAAGATATTTAGATATAAAAAAAAATTGGCAGGTCACGATTAATATTAAATATCCTTAATATCTGCATAACTGGGAATGTCATAAGTGCATTATTAGTAGTATATGTTATGTATTCGTAGAAAATGTGCCACGTTTGATCCAGCTATGTACAGGACCCTCAAAATTTTGCGGTCACTACTGTAATCTTCAAAGATTGAAAACTAACTTCTTTTAAATGGAACACCAACAATTTTATTAGTGAGGAATTTGTAGAATTAAATTCTGCGTCGATTGATACAGAGGTATCCTATACTTATATTCAGCGATTACGGAGCGTCCGTTAATTTGCTACTATAATTTTAAAGACGGCTTTGACGTCAAAATTTCAAGAATCCATCAGTTTCAAGATAAGTTCATGTTTAATGTGTCTGCCATGGATGACCAAGTTCGATTTGAAATTTATGAAGAAAGTTTGAATTCCCAAAAATATATTAATATATTAAGAGGGACGGTTTCGACGTGTCTTGATGAATTACCGTTACAAATATCGAGGCAGCGTTGGTATCGAATGGATGGAGCGGGGCACACACGTCTAAACAACTATTCCAACAATTGAATAATATGTTTGAAGATCAATGGTAATAATGGACCATGGCGATGGCCCCCTAGAGCACCTGATTTAACCTTTAGACTTGTATTTATGGGGCCACATAAAGAACGTCTATGCACTTCCAGCTGATATCAAAGAGGATTTGGAAAATAGAAGGTGTTTTAGGCAACTAAATCCTGACATAGTTAGAAAAGCTTCAGTTGGCGAATTAGTATAAAGGATTGTTTGCTGCCTAAATAACAATGGAGGACATATTGAACATTTGTAGATAAATAGCTTATTTATGGTATATCATGCTCAAATATTTAAAAGTACGTATATGAAATTTTGATGACCCTTATGGATTTGTCTGACAATTATTACTCCGTCAGCTAATACCCCAACGAAGTCAGAAAATTACCCACGGATTAGTAATTCGCCTAACCTGTCTATGAAACACAGATCCGTTCATGTTACAATAGAGCTTTCTTATCTTGATATTTTAATTCGTAAGTACAAAATCTCACTAAATACATATTTTCTTTGAAGTTATGCATGTATTTTATTGTCTTTAATATAACTCAAAATTTTGGGATATAAAAATACATTTTTAGGAATTCAAATTTTCTTCATTAATTTCAAATCTAACTTGGTAATTAACGGACGCAAATTAACGGACGCTAAAGTTCATCATTTATAAATAATCGCGATTATCTCCGAAATCGTTGAATATAAATATAGGTAACCTCTGTGGGTAAACATTTCTGCAAGTAACCCATTTTAAGTATTACGTCAAGAGCGCCAGCCTAATAGGACTGGTCTAACAGATGCAAGGACAAGAACAGACGCGGAACGCACACACCTTGGTTCCAGGAAAAGGTCCACGGCAGATTGGCGCTCGGGACGAGATACATATACCTGCGAGCGACTCCTCACCAGGACTCTCCAACGAACGCTCGCCTCGACACTATTTCTTTTCACTACACTTTGTNTTAAAATTTTGGGATATAAAAATACATTTTTAGGAATGCAAATTAACGGACGCTAAAGTTCATCATTTATAAATAATCGCGATTATCTCCGAAATCGTTGAATATAAATATAGGTAACCTCTGTGGGTAAACATTTCTGCAAGTAACCCATTTTAAGTATTACGTCAAGAGCGCCAGCCTAATAGGACTGGTCTAACAGATGCAAGGACAAGAACAGACGCGGAACGCACACACCTTGGTTCCAGGAAAAAGTCAACGGCAGATTGGCGCTCGGGACGAGATACATATACCTGCGAGCGACTCCTCACCAGGACTCTCCAACGAACGCTCGCCTCGACACTATTTCTTTTCACTACACTTTTTTTTCAGTAAAAATACTTTTATTTTACCGTTGAGAGAGAGTTTTATTTTACTGCACACCGGAAGCAACCCTTACCTCTATATCAATCGACGCA